TGGTAGTTCATGAAAATCTAATTGTTTTTCTCAGATTTAATTAAGACATGTGAGGGCGGTAGTGGTTAAGGAGTTGGGTGATTTTTTTTTTTTTTTTTTTTTTTTTTTTAAGATCTCGTCAATGACAGTCGTACCACATGCATCCCTCTTCCCCCACCCCAACATAATTATTTGACTAGTCTACAGTTACTTTTTTTTTCTTCTTTTTCTTTACCCTCCATATCTTGTCAGACTGCTCATCGGAATCGTTTTACTAATGACCGACTGGCCTCGCCAGTGCGCCAACCAAAACCATATCTGCTTCATTTACCCGTTACCGCCCTTAGGCCGACTCTCTAATTTAGAGGCGAAAAAAGAAAATATTTTTCTAAAAATTGTTGATTGCCCATGGATGCAGGCTTTAAAAAAAATTGAATTTCTCCTAATTAGCGTGTCTGTGTCAGAATTTTTGACGTCACTCTTGGATCTTGGCCTCATCAAAGCAGGCTGAATTATATCGACCTAGTTTTTTCTTATATGAAATAACTAAATAAAAACAAATATTTATAATTTTTTTTTTTTTTTTTTTTTTTACCATACAGCACAAAGAATTTTCCTTGGAACTTATTACATAAAAAATAAAAAATGGAGGTGGTGGATGAAAAATCCCCACCCACTAAAAAGTAAAGGAAGGAACAACTGGAATTTTAGGATTATCTGGTGTGTGTTTTTGTTGTGGTGGTGGTTGTGGGGAGCAGAACTGGTGATAGAAGCCACTGAGAGTACACAGCTGCGTTGACCCAGTTTTCAAGATGTCTTGTGTCACATTATTCGGATGAAGATAACATTTTTCTTTTTTTTTTTTTTTTTTTTTTTAATAGATTCTTTGTCGTGCCATTTGCTTGCTCGCAACTCCAATTAGTTTGCCTACTTCTCTATTCATGCACCCTATTCCTTCAGGATGTGGATGATCATGGCTCTCCACAATTTCCTCTCTTTTGTATGTCAGTATTAACGATGAGAATGAACATTACCTCATTCAGTAACGTTCTTAAGGAAGTGATATGGAAAATTTTATATTGTTACTCAACCATACTTCGATTATTACGATTTTCATATAAATGCTTAGTGTTATTAATTGTATTTTCCTTTTTTCTCTTAAATGCAATGTCTCTTCAGGACGTGAGCGATCATTGCTCTCCACATCTTCTTTTTTTTTTTTTTTTAAATATCTGTTAAACTTCCATTGCATTCTCCTAGACTGGTTACTAACCAAGGTTTGGAGAACTCAGTTTGCCCTAATTATATTAATGTTGTTATTATGTATGCTGTTGTCATGGTAATTATTGCTTCAGTCACTTGCATCATTATTAATGTTTTGTGTATTATTGCAATGCATATTATTTTGTGCATTATTTGTTATATATATATTTTTTAAAATAATTATGACCATAATTACAATAATTCTCATCTTTTATTGATTTTTTTTTTAAATTTAAGAGCTGATTTAAGATGTTCTAGACTGATTGTATGTTCTTTACAATTGTGTTTAACCCAGAAAATATTAATGATAAATCTATTTAAGAAAAAAAAAGATATTTTTCAAAATATTTTCAAAAAGTGTAATACAAGAAAGTTTTAATGATTCTAGCCCAGATATTTTTTTCTTTTTCATTTAAAGCAAATTTTAATGATAGGATTGAACACTGTCAATTATGAATTGCTTCAGAGGCCAATAGGAATGTTGCATGTAATTTCAATTAATCAATCTCACTTTACTTTGAGACTTGGATTTAGCCTGAAACATCATAAGATTTTTAACATAACATTTATTCAAGGAACAAATTATCTTAAAAAAAGTACTTGCACGCTATATTGTTCTGTATAAAAGACAAAGAAAAGCATTTTTGTTTTTTTATTCATTCTTTATTGATAATTTAGATAATAACTGAAATGATGTTTTTCATGATACCAAAAGTGTATTAATATTTTACTATATACTAATTTAAATAGGACTATGATATAGTTAAATGAAACAACAATATTAATATTAGTAGTAATTACAATTAATATTATAATTTATTCTATCTATATTGAGAAGACATAAAATGAGTAGTTAGAGAGTATCAAAGGAACAGAAGACTAGGTAGAGGAAACAAAGAAGTTTATTTAATACTCCTACATAGAACAGAATAAACTTGAGTAAATCAAATCCTACTTAAATCCTCCTCTAATGTTGCTACTTGCCATATCTATAAGCAAGAGCAGTTCATTGTCACAGTAGTAAGGAAGAGCAGGAAGTATTGTCCTAATCTCCAGCAGTTATTTATAATATGCATAAGAACTGTAAAATTGCAATAAGTGTTTACTTCAGTGTAAAAAAAATTATGAGTTTGTGTACAATGGAGTAGTTATTGATGCAGAAGGGGGAATGACTTACTGTGTTCAGATTCCAGCCAAGTTTGTTTCCTTCCCTTTTTCAGAAATACCCTTAGGAAAGGTAAAATTCCTCTCTCCCCACAGCATATGGGTTAAAGAGCAGAGCAAGCAGGGCTCTCTAGCCTTGGTTGGCAACCATTCTAGGTGATAGCTATAAGAAAAGTATTCCGTGCTTTACTAATATCTTTTTTTTCTTAGAATATATGCTGGCAACTCTTGGAGATTTTATGGTAAACTATTTAAATTGATGGATGTTCAGGTAGTGTGATAGCTGTCAAGGTGAAGCATGAAATTGGTAGTCTAAGTTCAAATCCTGGCAGAGATTGTTGCATTCAGTTTGTATCAAAGCTTTTGAAAAAGGCATGAACCCATCTCTTTTCTTAGCATTGGGTGAATAGAAAAAAATTTCTTAGGTTAAACTAGTCAAGGAGAGTAAAAACTCTGAATTCAAAACTGTGGAGAAGGCTACGATTAACCATCCTTTTCCGAAAAGTTATGGCAATTGATATATATTAAAAAAAAAATGGTGGCATTTGTGGAAACCCTTTATCACCAATGTTTGGAAGGGATAGGAGTTAATTTTTTTTTTTTTTTTTTTTTTTTTAAATGTCAACATAGAAATTTACTAAATGCAATTTCTAACTTTTATGTTTGTATTATTTGAAAATGGAAATGTATATTTAATTACTATCTGACTGTTAAAAATTTTTTAAAGTGTTATAATTTAACTTGAAATTAAGTCAGACCCATTTGGTAGTTCAGATAATCAAAAATCACCTTTCCTCTGTTTCCCCAAGGCCAGTGGTTGATTTTTTTGAGCTTAGGCAAAAGTGAACATTTTTCTGATAGCTAGGCCCACCCCACTTAGATATAGTGTGTGTGTGTTTTGTAATTTGACAATTCATTAAAATGATGCTGCATTGTCCACTTATTTTTTCTTTAATCTTGTTGTGCCTATTTTTAAATCATGTCTTTTATAATTTTGAAAGATAGATGATGAGAAAAGTGTACGCGTTAGTAAATAAGTAGCAATTAGGAGGATTGAAAATGAATTCCAAACTTTTTTGAGTAAATCTTTGGATAAGACTTTCTTCATTGGACTTTAAGATAAATTTATTCACAGCACAACTGAAAGATGATACATTGTCTGGCATTTGTTTTTGTAATGCTGAAAAAAGGTTTAATTGCATGAAAAGTTTTTAAGAATGTGTCAGGCATGTTAAAGGTTTGCTCCAGAATTATTCTAGCAAATCAGGAATTTTTCAGTTTCCTTATTTTGAGTGTAAAATGTGATTGACTGGATCAGCTGAGGGCAATGCAAGTGATTAACTGGATTTAAAGTGATTTATAGCTACATTGTTCATTTTCTGGAAGGTACTTAAAAATTGCAAGAAGTATGTGCAGAAAATAATTAAAAAAAACTGAAAGTGAAAGAAAAAAAAATCTGGACTTGAAAAAGCTGAATTCATTTGAAACATAATAGGAATGTTTTTCTTAACAGCTTTGCCTTAGATTCAGACTGAGTCAGAGAGGAAAAAAAAAAATTTTATGCCCCCCCCCCCAATACAAAAACTGACAGCCAGTCAAGAGAGAACATAATTTGAATTAGGTTAAAAAACAAAAGAAAAACATGAAGATTAAAATTAAGCTACAGAAAATTTAATACAATATATGCAGGATATGATACAACACCAAATGTAAAATTCTTAACTATATTAAAAATTAATTTTTTTTTTTTTTTTTTTTTTTTTATTTTATGAATGTGATAAACTTAATCTTATTCTGAGTCAACATAAGCCCCCCCCTAATCAAAGCTCATCTAGTTCTATATCTTCTTCATGACAAAACAATAGTCAGGTGTTTGCTTGGATTCATCATTGATTTTGATCCTGAACTGAGTCAGCTTGAAGTGATAGTAACCCCACTTCAATACAGGTCTAAATTTTTAATATTGATTCCTAATAGGTGACATGTCATGTTTGTTTTTTATATAGCGGATCTTCCCAAGGTTGATAATTACAAGTAAATAGCTTTGCTAGTCATGCCTGGACAAGTAAAGCAATTATACTATTCATTCTTTTTTTTTCTCCATCTGATATTAATGTATGCCAGTGATAAGGTGTTTATATTTCATTAAGATAACTGGCAACAAGTCAGACTGCAGGGAAGAGTGGATTCATGGTTTTTCTGAAAGCTTTTTTAATACCAAAGTTCACCCAATAGAAGGCTCAAGATCTACTCATGATAAAGGGCTACTGAATGAGGTATTAAGTATTATTCATATGATATGAACGTAAGAGGCAGTAGAATTTGGTTGTTTTTGTTCAGCAGCATATCAAAGTCTATGGGTTATTTAATACCAAAATATAAATATTATGTACGCATTTTTTTTATTTTTGAAAATAATAATTTAGTGGTATAAGTCTTACTAATTAACCCATATGCAGGGGGAGAAGTTGATTCATACCTTTCCCAACAGTATTTGTACATAAGTGACTATAACAAACACAACCAGAATTGGAACACGGCTTTCCGATTAACAATTCTGAGCCATTACCCATTACACCAACTGCAAATCCAAGCTGACAGCACCTAGTATTCTCAAGTGGACACCCATCTAGGTACTGACCAGGCTCGACATTGCTTAACTTCAGTAATCATATGGGAACCAGTGTTTCAGCATGATGTGGTCATAGGCATGATTTTGTTGAGTTGCCATACAGTGTAAGAGAAAACAATAAATATTTGTCATAAAAATATTCAACTTTTTATAAATGATGATCATTTCTATATTTTAATTCTTGTAAGAACTTTTCTTTCTTTTAAATCACTACTTCAGTATCAAGATATCAATTGACCCTTGACTTGGAGTGGTTAAATTATGTTCAAGGAAGCATCCCTACGGAAGTTTGTTTCATAAAGTAGCAATCCTTGGAAAAAAGCTGAATGAAACTTTCTTACATTTGAAATATGGGGAGAAATGTGGATGATTTGACTCCATGGTTATAGTATGGTGAGTCCTGACTGTAAATGTCTGAACTGGTGAAAGTAGAAAATGAGTCATCCCTTACTAGATAGCATAAATGATTTTTAACTCTATCAAGTCTGAAAAGTAAGGACTGGACAACTCCAGCTCTTAAAATTCCAGCTGTACTTGATTCTTGGTCTAATCTAAGTCTTGTAAAGATAAAGCATAGAAGAAGATGACAGGTACTTTCAAGAAGCAAACATTTTTCCAGCATCTTTTAGCAAGGGACTGTATATATGACTTCATATTGAAGTCTGAAGTGAACTCAAGTCTGAATAGATATTCAAAGCATGGAACTTTGTTGAGAGTGCAATTGTTCATTGTGACAGAACAAAATTTAGGGTCTGCTTGTTGTTGATGAAATGTTACTAGCATTTATACAAAACGAATGTTAACAGCCTCTGTGGGAATTCTAAATTGGTGCTTTACCACTGCTAACCATATTGCCACAACACTATTAGATATAAATAGTTAAAAAAAAAGATAACTGTCTATATTTCTGAGATGAGGTATTATGAATATTTGCATTATTTACATTAATCGGACATATTGCCATATTCACAACGTTTCAAACTTTGTACACTCCAGTTTTCTTCAGGTGATTGGAATTTGAACCGAACCTTTTATTTTGTCAACTGGAGTAGATTGTTCTAGTTCCACGTGTCGTGCCTCTCTCGGATGTCTCAGTTATTTCCCTTTAACTCAACTCTCCAAGTTTTGGTTCACCACTGCTCTTTGGGTCTAGTCACAGGATCTAACCAACTGGGCCATGTGTCCCTGAGGACATCTGTGTATGAATTTTTGGGACTTATAAACCTAATATCTCGGCAACCATTTTTTTTTATCAGTGCTTATATTGCAATGTTTCTATTATTATTAATGCATTTTTTACCATAGCTTATATTGCAATTTTTATGTTGTTGTTTATTGCTTTTCCCTAGCACTCCTTATTACTGATTCTCATATTGTATTATTTCTATGATTGATCAGCTCAAGAGATTTTTGTAGCCTAAATAATGAATATAGCAAAATTTGGATCATAAAATTGTAAACAATAAAAATGAGTTAAATATTTATATATATACTATTACCAAACAAGAAATTCATTTATGAGATCTGAGAAAGAATAATTCCAGGATTTTGGTTTATTCTGACAATGACAACAAAGAATTCCAATAACATCTGATATCTTTATCCAGAATCTTTTTTTCATGTAACAAAAATCATGTTGGTTTCTTTTTCACAACATTTAGATATCAGAAATTTTACAAGCACATAGAAAGGTTGCAAAATTCCTTATTGTGATGCTGATGCTTATTTGTTTATTCCAGTTACCAAAAAAAAAACAACAAAAAGCTGAAAATGGTGTCTGTTTAATCATTTCACTCCAAGCAAGGCAATAAAAGTCACTAGGATACAAAGGGGGGTTAGTGTGAATGAAATAAACAGAGAGGAAAATAAAAGAACAGGATTCAAGCACAGACAGATGATGATGATGATTGACAGTGCATTTAAATATTTGCATATTGCATTTGGTAGGAAGCTGGAAGAGAGTTCTCTAAGTCTGAAGTGTGGCAGCTGAAATGATTAGCATGGAACTTAATTTTCAAATAAAAGATGGGAAAAGAATTAATGGCATATCTCTGTCACTTGCATATTTAATAAGAGTAAACTGTCTGCCACAAAGCAACAAAATGTAATTAAAACTTAAATGTTTGTCTGGGTGTGCATGCGCCCCACCTCCATATATAATATATATATATAAAATGTGTGTGTGTATGCGTGCACTTAATTTGCCATAGGTTAAAAATGATTAGGTATACTGTTGTAAATATTCATGAAAGAAAACCTGAATCTTAATGCTTTGCCTTTGTACATAGGTAGGTCTTTTTTCTTTTTTTTTTTTTTGTTCACATTCCAGCACACTGATTACCTCCCTTGATAGCGATAAGGTGGTGTCAGGAAATGACCTGCAGGTGACTTAATTAGTGCTCATGCTTGGGCCTGAGACATGACAATCAGTCATTGCCTCTTAGAAAGCAACCATTTTCCTTCTTTTTTTTCTTCCCTTTGGATAGGGGGAAAAATGTCAGGCAAGTTGTGTGTATAGATAAAGCTTATATTACTTGAAGTTTCTCTTAGAGAAAAGGTTCAAAGGAAAATTATCTTTTAGGTAATGCTATTTCTCAATTTTAACGTTTAATTATATATAACTCTTCTATATATATATATATATATATATATATACACACACACACACCTTCTGTATTGCTTTGAGCTCTTAAGGTAACTAACATTTTTGATTAGTTTTTACATTCTGTGTTTTTTTAAAAAAAATTGCATTTGAAATTCAATTTATTTATTTTGGAGAGAATTCTCTTTTCTTTGAGAATTTGATATTTTAGTTTGAAATTCTTTTAGTCAGGTAATGTTTTTAGTGTATATATCAAAATCAAATGGATTGTTTTCATAAAATGAAATGTCAAATTCTCAGTGTTGAATCATTGGGAAAATGGTTAATGATTCTATTTTCTGTCCTTTTGTTGTTTTTTTAAACATACTTTGAATAACTAAGATTATTGATTTTAGATGATGATTCAATTTAAGATAAATGACACTTGTGGATTCTTGTGCACATCCACCTGTTTTATTTACTGATAACTTTCATTTTTTTTTTTTTTCCTATTTTAAAATGTTTAAAAATATTTTTTCAAAAAGAAAGGGTAATCACTTTTAACATTTTGAATTTTAATCTGTTTAAATATTACAACATTTTATAACAAACACTGGTATTCCTAAATGTAGACTGCAAAGTAAGCAATCTTTAAGACTCTTAAGCTTTCTAACCCTTTCACCAGATTAGAAACATATTGAGAAAGATGGAATAAGATTTACTGAGGGACTATAGGGTTTTTGTTTCATCTTTCTAAAAAACATCTTTGTCAGGTCTAGAGAATATATAAGACCATCTGAAATTCTTTGCTTTGAAACAAACTGATAGTTGTTTGGAAAAATAAAAAGTAGAAATGCAAATGCAGAAAATAGGTTAATCCTTATGATAGATTGACTGTGTTTGACTATCTGCATATACGTACATTGTCTAATCGCAAAAATATTTCTATCCTACCAAACATTATCTCCCAGCCAAAAATAAATATTAATAATACTACTTGTTCACAATAAATCGATTCAGTATTTTAAATAAATCTGTTTCTCTTTCCTGGATTTTTAAGTTTGTTTTAATGCGGTCTCCATTTGATTTTTCTTATAATTCTTTCTTTAGTCAGTGTCTGACTATGGGATTTATTATGTATTAGTGTTTTAATTTCCCATAAAAAAAGACTTGTTTAGCTGATGTCTTAGCTCTGTTTCTAGTTTAACAGGTTGTTAGGTACACTGTTTTAGCTAGATACATTTTGAAAGTCTTTTGATATACACTACACTAACAAATAGATAATAGTGTATCTTTATTCCTGTATATCTTATAGGTGTTTATAGATGCTTATTTTAACAGTGTATCATCATGTATATCATATGTCGTAACCTAGGGAAGATTACTGAATAGAATAATCACGCTAAGGATAGTAATGAATGATAATACTTAAGACATGAACAACACATATAAGATTTGCCAGCAGCACATAGAAGAAGTAGTCAACTGCTAGAAGTGAATCAAGTGAATTCCACAATAAATCTCCAACTGCAGGCCAACATACAGTATTTACTACTGTATTTTTGTGAATAGGGACATACCCATTATGCTACAACATCATACAAATCAGTTTCAATGTCATTTGAATAAGTAACCTTATATTCATTTATGACTGCAAAACAGAATTTTTATTATAGGTATTTGTTTCTCAGTGTTTGCATGAGTCTACCTATTCTACAGAAAAATTGATTGCCTACAATCAGTCATCCTAAAGCGGCAAAAGAATTTATAAATATTCCATTTAGTTTTATACCTTGTTGGCTGGGGTTTCAAAATATGCCAGCTGCACCTCTGTAGAGGTGTAAGACCCCACCACCACCTCAATGAGGCATCCTGGGTATGACAATAAATTCCATCCGGTAACAAGACCTCTGATCAGAAGCTTTTGAGGAGCATGGAATCACCTCTTGCTAGTGTTCTCAGGTCCACCCTGACCTGGGGTGGTAGCAGTTTTAACCATGTACTTCATCTGCATATATTTAGATATCAGAAGACAAAAATCTGGATAAAAAGCCACAAAATTTGCATGTGTGTAGAAGTCATTGAGCTAATGCAAATTAATATTATTTTCATCTTAAAATTAAAAAAAGGTGTAGGTGAATATTTTGAGAAGGAAAAATTCAAAGAAAGGAGTACTGAACTGTTATATAATGTCAGTCCTCCTACACAGCAATGAATGCTGGACAATCTTCTTACAGATGAAGAGACTAAATACAACGGAAATGTGATTCTACAAAAGGGTGCTGAGAATACCATGGACCTGACATGTGAGCAACAATAAAGTTTTGGAGGAAATGGGGGGGGGAGGACACTTATGCTTAACAGCAGAGAGAGATAGCTGAAATTTATTGGGTACATAATGAGGAAAGAAGGCTTTGACACTAACATGGTATATTGATGGCAAAAGAGACAGGGATCAGCAAATAACCTACCCAATAAGCTTATGTAAATAGAT